ATTAAAGTCATGATGAAAGCTCTGGTGGCTAAGTGGTAAGGAGCTGTGCTGCCAACTCAAAGGTTTGAACCCACCAACTGCTTTCCAGGGAAAAGATGCACAGTTTTCTCCTGCATGATTTACAGCCTCTGAAAACCCACGGGAGGGTCAGCTATGTGTTGGTTCCAACTTGATGGTAAATAACAAAGTTATGAAAGGATTCTCCTTTTCTTATTTTGAAATAGAGATTAACAGGAAGTTGCAGAACTGGCACAAAGATTCCCCAGGGATAAAAAGCTCAGAAGGCAGGCAGGATGCAAGGATTCATGGAAACGTGCATCACAGGGAGGAGGTGCAAAGAGTGCAGGTGCATTGTGGATGCTGGAATCAACACCATAAAATGTGCATGAATGGTTACCTGGAAAACAAATGGGTTTATAAACTTTCACTAAAGTCACAATAAAAACATACATTGAAAAATGTAGGTATGTTTCTGTATAAACATATATACAAACATAAACACATAAATCTACACAGACACAGGTACGTTATATGCCAATGAATTGGAACTGACTCTGCTGACAATCTGGCAAGTTTTCAGAGGCTTTAATAGAATGAGACAGTCCATCTCTCTCCCTCAGAGCACCCACTCCGGGGTGGCAGTGTAACTTCTTACCCTCCAGACCCACAGAGCTCCCTATACATTCATGCATACACTGTTGTTGGTTAACATTTGAGCCAGAACCGACTCAGCTGACCTTCCAGTAGGTCTTCAGAGGCTTAAAATCGCACAGAAGACTGTCCAACTTTTTCCCATGGAACTGCTGATGGATTTAAAACAAATGCTTTAAAATTTGCAAGAGAAACTTCCTACATGTACTAGGCAAACAGTGCTCCCTACAGAGGGAGGGAGTGAGGGAGGATAGAGAGATATGAGTAACAGGATTCTGCTGTTATACCTCCCACCTCCCCTTCTCTTCCTCACTGATACCCTGCTTTGCATTTCCCTGAGAAAGCTAACATTTTCACCAACATCCATCTCCAACTATCAATCTGTCTCCAGACACTTTCCAGAAGTCCAGCTGTAAAAGGAAGCATATGAAAGAGAGCATTTTCTTTCTTTTTTCTTTTTTCTTTTTAAGCAATACGGTGGGGGTGGAGGGAATGACCACAATACAGTCAATCAAGATAATGATAAAGAAAAAAAATTGCCAACTTCAAAAACTGTGTCAAGAGACCCGATTTTAGGGGAGCTCTGGTGGCCTAGTGGCAAGAAGCTGCACTGCAATCCCAGAGGAACAGAGTTCGAATCCACCAGATGCTCTGCCGGAGAAGGAGGCGCAATATCCTCCTGTACCAGTCAGATCTGATTTGACGGTACACGCACACAAAATAAAAAAAAAAAAAAAAGAGACCCGATTTTTAGGTTGTTCAGAACATGTCATAAGTTAGCATCTGTGGCTCTGTAAGCGGAAAACAGTGAAATAGCAAATGCTGCTGTTAGGTGGCATCAGGTTGAAACTTAGAGGGTGACCCTGTGTGTGACAGAATGACATGCAGCAGCCTGGTCATGCGCCATCCTCATCATCACTGCCTAGGCCCAGTGCTGTAACGGCTGTGCCAGCCATCTCATGAGGGTCCCCATCCCCCTCTGATCCTCTATTTTCCAACCGTGGTGTCCTGCTCCAGGGGCTGTCCCTTCCGGATAACATGACCAAAGTCTGAGAGATTCTGTCTCTATCTCCTTGCCCCAAAAGTGCACTCTGGCTATACTACTACTGAGACAGATTTGCTTTTCTGTCTGTTCTTATTCAGTTTCAAATAGATGCCCTGAAATAAAACTGTGCATGGCTTCACAGGCAGTGCTGCCAACGATGGCGCTTTCAACGGCATTAAAACATCTGTCACAAAGGGACATACTGCATAACACTGCTGTTATCAAACAGGATAGACATGGGGGTGCTGGGGAGAGAATGGGGAAAGAGTGGATAGATCAAGAACACTGCATCAGAACAGATGAGGGGAAGAACTGCCCCAAAGGAACATGATTATGTATGAGAACAATCTGGAACAAGGGGTGTACTGCAAGTGGGCTGGGGGAGGTGTGAAGAAAATGTGCAAAAGTAATTAAAAAAAAATAGGTATGAAATCACTTTTAAAATAAGGTGCTCTCTTAGGGGAGCACTGGTGGCCTAGTGGCAAGAAGCTGTGCTGCAATCCCGAAGGCGCATAGTTCAAATCCACCAGATGCTTCATTGGAGAAGGAGGGGGGTAATCACTTCCTGTACCAGTTGGATCCGATTTGATTACGCACACAAAAAAGAACAAAAAATTTAGGAAAACTAAACACCAAGACAAAAAAAAAATATTATCGCCATAAGGAAATATGAATGCACAAATAATATTATTAGCAGTCCCACGAGTCTGGGGCCATCAGGGACTGTGTCTTGTCTGTCGTGGGCTGATTCTTAGCATTACTTTTTTTGTTTGGCTCAAAACAACCTCACCTACCATTCACATTGTCTAGATGCCTCTGAGTTGTGGGGCTGGAAAAGGGTCTTGAACACACCAGCGACTGCCAAGAAAACAAATACCAAGTTTCTCCTTGGAGGCTAGGATTTTGAAGCTCTGTCTCACAGACTTTGGGCACATGGCCAGGAGAGACTGTTCCTGGGAGAAGGTTATCATGCTTGGAAGGGTGGCAAGGACAGTGCAGGAGAGGAAGACCCCGGATGAGATGGATTAGTACAGTAACTAGGGCAATGGGGGTTGGTTTGTCAGAGCCATTGAGACTGGTTCAGGACAGGGCAGGCTTCCGAGCTTCTGTACATAGGGTCACCGGTGACTTGACGGCACATAAGAACAACAACAGGGAATAAAAGGAAAGTGTTACGAATGAAGCTAAAGTTAAGAATCTTTTTGTATGATAATAATGGTTTCCAACCAGCTCAGCTAAAAGAACTGACCTTTATTGAACAATCTGTAAAATCACTCATTTGATAGTAAAGTAGAAAAAAGTGCTCACAAACAGTAAAGCCAGTATAAATTTACAGACCTGGAATGCAAGTACAGGAATATGGGGTGGAACAGAAATCAGAAGAGCAAAGGCTCCACTTAGAAAACAAAGGTTTGACCCCACTTAAGGATAAAGCACATATCCAGTGTAATAGGGAAGACAGCCAAGGTTACCTAATATAGCCAGGCAGCAAAAACCAACCAGAAAAACTAAAGAAAATGGACTCAGTCCATATCTGAGCGCCTTTCTACCGGCGTCCTGCTCACACTGGCTGCATGCTGGGATGAGGACAGTGCATGGGTTCTTTGTTGTTGTTAGGTGCCACTGAGTCGAGTACAACTCACAGCGACCCTATGAACAAAAGATCTGAACTCTGTTCTATCCTGCACCATCCTCGCACTTCCTGACACACAAGAGCCCACTGTAGCAGTCACCATGTCAATAAACCTGGTCGAGACTCTTACTCACCCTCCACCCTTCCCAACATCACGTCCTTCTCCAAAAAAAAAAAAACAAACCAAACCTCCTAGAAATATGTCCAAAGCATGAGAGGCGAAGCTCCATCATTCTTGCCTCCAAAGAGCACTCCGGCTGCACCCTCTCCAAGACATCTGTCTGTTCTCTTGATCATCCATGGGCTCTTCACTGCTCTTCTCCTGCACCACAGCTCAAAGGCGTCAATTCTTTTTCTCTCATCCTTATTCATTGTCCAGGTCTCGGATGCATAACAAGTAATCGGAAAAACGATGGCCTCACAGTGCATGACTGCTAATAATTATCTGTGGTTTGTTTAGATGTGCCAATGGAAAGAAGAGGGTGAATGGTACCATATTTACATGAAAAAATGAACATCACCTATAAAATGGACTCAGCCACAGAAATAAACCTGTAGGCTACGGGAATGAAGTGAATGAAAAGACATTAGACCACCCAGGCCATTGAAGCAATCAGTAACCAGCCCAGAGCAATGGGGTCAGAACTCAAGTCCACAACCAATGGCCAGGTGACCTGGAGAACGGCCACAAGACACAGAGTTGCATTGTGAGAGGTGACAGCAGAGCACAACTGGAGCCTGTCAAGACTGGGACAAGCATGGAAGCTTCCAGCAATCTGCAGTTCCATCTGTTCTTAGAGCACAATGGAAGTGAAAGGCAACAAAGCTCATTGAGTCACAGTCTTTACTAAATTGGCTTTAAATAGCAATACCAATTTAAAAGTTCCTGCAATACAAAGTCTTGAACATAGCGCAGTAAAAACTGAAATCTCAGTGGAATCATATGGAGCAAATAATGCAAGTCACAAAAATATTATTGCTGTGAGAGATGTGGAGCTCTCTGGAGAAGTTTTACTAAGGAGCATGCCATGCTGGCCAAGCTGTGGTTCTGTCCTCAGGCTCAATGCCCCTTGCTCTGGGCCTGTAGCCCCAGAAAGCTGTCTGCAGCCGAGATCCTGAGAAGGTACCCTCATTCCCTGGCACCTTCCCACAAAGCATCCATGGACCAAGGAGACACCTTGGAGTTTTAACTGGCTAGCAGTTTTCTTTCAGAGAAACTGATGGGATTTTGCAATAATTCTCAAGTAAACTGCACCAGCGCTGACTAAGCTAAGTGAAAGTTTTAAAGGCTGGTAAACGTTCTCACTGCTCTAGCTAGGATCTCACAAGATGCTGACAGTGAAGGGTAAGACAACAGGAAAACACATCCCTTTTGTGGACCATGATGGGGAACTCATAGCACTGACTGAGAACCTTATATATTTATAAAGTCACAGCTCTGAAAGCACCAGAAACACGTGTCTGTTTTGGACCATGCCGCTGACAGGTGCTGCGTGTCCTCAGCACCTTGGTGCATAACCAGCCCCCAATACATGTCATCGCGCACTTGAGACAGGTACCGGGGACCCACTTTACAATGATGGCATTTGACTGTAATAGAATCCTGTAAAGCTGCCTGGCAGTCTCACCACCAACCCCAGCACCAAACTCCCTGTGCTGACGAGTGCGGAGTCAGTTCCAAGCGATCTTCGGGTGTCCATAAGTCTGGGAAGAGGAAGAAAAGAACTATTCAGCTCGGTGGTCCACGAGCACTGGGGGTGCATCCTGCTTCAGGTACCAGCTAAAGGCACAGCTTAAATGGCTGCTTCCATTTACAGCTGAGAAAGTTTTGCCTCGGGGCCCAAATGGGAGGCCCTTTATACCTTTTTAAAAGGTACCAACCCACAGGGACATTTTCAGCTGTGCTCTGGAGCATTCTGCCTCTGAGACACTCATCCAACCATGGGATTCGTTCTGAAAAAACGCTGTTCCCTGAACCTCCCAGTGTCACATGGTTCTGCGCAAATGCAGCACCTGCTCTAATAGTTGCAGTTTCCCAGAGCTGTGTGAGCATGGAAGGTGGGCGTCCCGTGAGTGCTGCTCGGAGATCAGCATGAGGCCCCAGGGGCAGAAGTGGGTGTCCAGTCCTATCTGCAACTCCATGGGGCTGTGCTGCTCTGCACTCCCTGTGTGCCCCAGAGGGGTTCCCTTGGACACCCAGAGGGGAGAGGATGGGTCACAGAGAAAAGGGAGGGGCAGTGAGAGGAGAAGGGACTGGGAGGAAGCAGCTTCCTGCTCTCCGGGGCTCCAGCTGTCTACAGTCAGACACGGCACCACGGCTCTCACCTCTGGTCAGCACTGGCCCTTCTAAGACTGCTCTTTGTCCCCCAAAAGGGACAAGCATGCAGCAGCAGGAGACACAGCAAAACCACATGAAGGGCTATTTGAGGTCCACGTGAGTAGTCAGAGAGGGGCGAGGAAGAACTGGGATGGCTGGGGTGTGCATATGCTGGAAGGTGGGTCCTGGGCAGAGGCTAGCTTTGGGGGAGGGTGGCCCTTGCCTAGGCAGCATCCCTACCTTTGGTCGGTAGGCCTGCTCAGCCAGCATCTTCGCCTCTCGCTGGAGGAGGGAGTCGGTGAGCTGCTCCGCCTGCCTCGCCGCTGCTGCCGCCTCTTCCTCTCGCTGGTCCTCTTCTCGGGCCTGCAGCTGGTGCTCCATGACCTGCGTACCCAGCGCAACATCACTCAGGACACGGGTCTATGGGTACACCCACCTCCGACTGGGAGGAAAAGCCCTGGTTCTGCCCCATCAGGGGAAACCAGGAGCTACCAACAGTGACAGTAAGTCTGAACAACTGGTGGGAAAATGGGCACTGAAGAAGGCCATGTGCCTTGTAAGACTAATTATGTTATGTAAGGGAGCTTTGGTGGCTTATGGTAAGGCGCTGTGCTGCCAATCTGAGGCATGTGGTTCGAGTCCACCAGCTGTTCTGCGGAAGACAGATGGGCAATCTCCTCCCCTGCCTCTGAAAACGCACTGGAGGATCAGCTATGGGTTGGTTCCAACTTGACAGTCCATAATAATAGCTTTAGGTGCCAAAGTTGGTTGATAACTCACCCAGATTACACGTGAGTTATAACTGTGTAAGCCATGGTTTCAGATGGAAATGAAGGGCACGCTGAACCTTACGAGTGAACTTCAGGGATAGCAGCATTGAGTGATGGTATCTATCGGTCAAGGGCTCCTGCCCTCTGAGGCTCTTACCCAGCCGGGTGCCCCCCCGGCTGCCTGCATCCCACTCTTCTCACCCCGGCCTGAGCCCCACCTGGGCTTCTAGCTCCTGTTTCCGTGCCAGCTTGAGTCCTTCACGCTCCTCCTCCTCCCGCAGTGCCGATTCCCTCGCCTCCTCCAGGCAGCGGATGAGCTGCTCTCTGTGTCTCAGGGCTTCCTCTTGGGCACATCGATTCTGCTCAATCTTCTCTTGGATTTGTTGCTGTCTCCCCTCCAGAACCTACCGTCGGCAAGAAGGAAGTGGAAAGGCTCAGGGTACCTTTGACAGACACCCACCCTGAGCACCTGGGACCCAGGAAAGGCTGCAGGCGCCCTGCTGGTAAGGTGGCGAAGTGTTCAGTTCACTGATGGACCAGAGGCACCTTGGAAGAAAGGCCTGGCAAAGGATTTCCCTAAAACCAGCCACTGAATACCTGATGGAGCACGGTTCTACTCTGATGCATGCAGTGCCTCCATGAATCAGAATCAACTCAAGGGCAAGAGATTTTTTTTAATTTAAGGTAAGATCAGAACCAAATTTACCACATCTGCCAGCATACAGAGACATATCCCACCCACCCCGAACCTACAGCTGAGCACCAAGAGGCCAGAGACGATATCCTACTCCAAGAGCAGAGGAACATCTCAGCAGCAAGGTGAGAGGCAGAGTGGGGCCACGTCCTAACATTTTGGGTTTAAATCTGCTCTTTGAAGCAGCCATGGCCTTCTGTGGTAGGAACCTGGCCACAGAGCAGTGTCACCCCAACACGGACCAACATGTGGTCTGAACCCAGGACTCAGGAGCTGCAGGAAATGACCAGGCACAATCGTTATAGATGCTTCTGAGGGGGAGGGGAGAGTGGTCACAGCCAGGCAGGAATTAAAAATGGGGAAAATAGAAAGATGCTGGGTAATACCTGGTATTCGCAAAAAGAAGAAACCACCATCCAAACCAGATTGTCCATGGATTCCAAAATGCAGTACACCAGCATGCACAAAGTAGCTATTCCACTGCTTGGAATATACCCCGAGAAAATGATAACTGAGTGTGGCAAAAATGGAGACTTGTACACTAATGTTCACGGCAGTGTTATTCACCATAGCAAGAACATGGAAACAGCCCAGAAGTCCAACCACAATCAAATGGATTGAGAAATTACAGTACATTCACACAGTGGAATACTACACAGCATGGAAGAACAATGATTTTGTAAATCACTATCGAACTTGGGAGGGACTGGAAAGCATTATGCTGAGTGACCTAACTCAGTCATATAAGGACAAATACTGTATAATACCATTATTACAGAATGAATACAAGGATCCAAGTGGGGGGGGGGAAGTGGAAGCAAGGGGTGAGGATGGGCAGAGGGGTGTTTAATGATAGACTCATATAATCTGATGGTGGGATGAAGGAAATGGGAAAGATCCAGTATAAAAAACAATGTATTTGAACTTTGTAAAGAAATCAGTATTTTTTTAAAAAAAAACACCGACTTCAAAGGAGCTCTGGTGGCCTAGTGGCAAGATGCTGCACTGCAATCTCAGAGGTATGCGGTTCAAATCCACCAGATGCTCTGCTGGAGAGAAGGAGGGGGCAATCTCTTCCTGTACCAGTCAGATCTGATTTGACGGTACACGTAAAAATAATACAATAATGCACTGCAATCCCAGAGGTACACGGTTCAAATCCACCAGATGCTCTGCTGGAGAAGGAGGGGGCAATCTCCTCCTGTACCAGTCAGATCTGATTTGACAGTACATGTAAAAATAATACAATAAAAATTTTAAAAAAATTAAAAAAAAACCCCAACATTTAAAAAAAAATAATACAATAAAAAAAACCAACTTCTTAAAAAAAATTAAAAATCACTTCTTCAGGAGCAACAATTTCATAAAATACTATATAACTTGGGAAAGACTGGAAAGCATTATGCTGAGAAAACTAACTCAGTCTCATAAAGACAAATATGGTATAAAACCATTATTACAAAACTAGAATAATAATGGAATTTATATGCAGGTCCAAGGGGGTAAAGGGTGGGAACAGAAGGGTGAGGATGGGTGGGAGGAAATCATGGAGTTGCACAATTTGGTGGGTGGAAGGAGGGAATAAGAAAATGGGGGAAATCCAGTGAGGACCTGAAAACATGGAGTAACGGTTTAATGGTAATTAATTTTATAAGACACAATGTATGGGAATGATTGTATGGAACACAATGTAAATGAAGTCAAGTCTGAAACACAATGTACAATATAAAATTTAAAAAAATGAAAAATAATAAAAATTACCTCTTAAATGTTTTAAAATAACTCTCAATACATGGCTAAAGAAGATCAATTCCTCCAATAAAGCCTGCACTGTAATTGAAGTGTGTTCTAATATGCATAAGTGGATTATTCACAAATAAAAGAATTACAGTCTATAGCCCCTTAGCCCAACTCTGATTATCTACTCTCAGAGAAAAAAGTTCCTAAATATGGAAAAGCTTTATGTCCCAAGGCATTCATGCAGTGTTTGAACCCTTGTTGCTGCAAACGACCAGGAGGACAGCCACAAAGCAGGAATGGTCAGACAAACAATGATACAGGCCCTGGAGGTGATCTTAAAGAGCCATTAAAACACTATTTAGAAAGATGATAGAATAGTATGTTAAAATGACTGAAATTAAAGATAGTTCAATATAATTAAAAAAAAGAGGAAAATATCTTATGTCTTGGGATTGACTGTATGCAGAGCAGATTATCTGAGAGGCTGGGCTCTATGAGGAGAAGCGTGGCTTAGGATTGGTGGGCGATCTATCAACAATCTGCGTTATGCAGATGACACAACCCTGCTCGCTGAAACTGAGGAGGACCTCATGCACTTACTGCAGAGGGTCAAGGACTGCAGCCTTCAATATGGACTGAGGCTCAATGTCAAGAAGACAAAAATTCTCATCACTGGACCAATCGGTAGCATCAGGATGGATGGTGAAGAGATTGAGATTGTTCACAGCTTCAGTTCCACGGTCAACACTCTTGGCACCAGTAGCCAGGAAATCAAAAAACGTATTGCGATGGGAAAGTCTGCGGTTAGGGACCTCTCTAAAGTACTCAAGAGCAACGGTGTCTCTCTGGAGACTAAGGTGCGCCTGATACAGGCCATGGTTTTTGCAATCACTTGTTATGCATCAGAGAGCTGGACAATGACTAGGGAGGATAGAAGGAGAATTGACGCCTTTGAGCTGTGGTGCTGGAGAAGAGTACTGAATGTACCATGGACTGCCAAGAAAACAAATACATTCATCTTAGAGAGGGTTAAACCAGGCTGCTCCTTGGAGGCAAGGATTCTGGGGCTTCGCCTGACATACTCTGGACATGTTGTAAGGAGAGACAGGTCTTTGGAGAGGGACATCATGGTGGGCAGAGTGGAAGGACAGCGCAGGAGGGGAAGACCTTCTATGAGGTGGATTGATTCAGTGACTGGGGTAGTTGGGATGGGTGTGTCAGAGGCAATGAGATTGGCACAGGATAGAGCAGGGTTTAGGGCTGTTGTACATAGGGTCGCTATGAGTCGCAAATGACTCGACAGCACATAACAACAACAACAACAACAACTTGGGATTGACAAGTCAAAAAACTGAACTCCTTTCCATCAAGTTGAAGTGATTCCTCGCCGACTGTCCAGCGAGTTTTTGGGATCATACATCACATAAGGGGAGACTGTTCAACATCCTCACTCAGAGCAGCCGGTAAAACAGAGGAGAAGAGAAACAGTGGCTGTGTAAGGTAATGAGGACAGCGCGGGGTTGGCAGGAGTCGCTGCCGCTATCCATGGCTTACTGTGGGTCGGAGCCCACTTGACAGCCCCTAACAACACAGCACATGGGTGAAAGGCACAGAGTGTGAACCTCAGTCCAAATCAACTCCATAGCAATGGGTCTGGACTTTTCTGGTTTGTTTATAAGAATAAAAGAACTCTGGATGATTTTTGTTGTTTCATTCTATACTTCTGATTTTTTTTACTAGTAAGCTTGTATTGAACTCTAGCGGCCTAGTGGCAGAAGCTGAGCTGCAATCCCGACGGCACACAATTCAAAGCCACGAGCTGCTCCATGGGAGAAGGATGGGCAATCTCCTCCCGTATGATTAACTGCCTCTGAAAACTTGCTGGAGGATCAGCTATGGGTCAGTTCCAACTCGATGGTACACAACAACAACAACAAAAAGCATGTATTATCTGGGTGATTTCTAAGCCTATATAAAATAACCAGAGCCACCTGTGCCCCCAGGAGAGCAGGTGGCCCCTACCCTGGACCGGAGGCCTTACCTCTTGCATCAGTCGGTCACGCGCGCTCCTCTCGCGGGCCCACTCAGCCTCTCTCTTCTCCCACACCTCCTTGGCCTCGTGCCTGAGTGACACACAATGCGTGATGCATCAACTAAGGAACATACAGTGTCCCGAACTTTATCAGCACACAAGGCGGGCTTCCCATCTGGACAACCTCCAAGTAAACTCACCCAACAAGCATTAGCACGCTTAACATGAAGGGCTCCACTCACAGAAAGCAAATTTTTTTTTAAGTATATCCTATCTCCTAACCAAAAAGACCTCCATGCTCGGCCTCTGAGGCTGAGCGGCCCCGTTGGGAGGAGGGTGCAGGACTGGAGCCCGAGCGCCCTCGTCACACTTTCAGGCCAGGAAGTCCCTCCACCCATGAGCTGGCTGGGGACCCTCATGCTCAAAAACATTCCGTTTGAGGGTTATCTGACTCAATGAGTCTGTTTTCTATGATCCAGACTCATTTACAGACTTGGGAATTCAACAATTCCTTACAGTTTCCTTTCCAACTCTTAAGACACTAGATGCACAGATCCCGGTGTTTTAGTGAGATTTCCTCTTCCCTCACTTAGAAGGGAAACAGCTCTCAGCAGCTAGGCCCAACTGTGAAGATGTATGTCTGGTGCGTATGGACAGACTGGCCAGGACAGAAGTTTCCCATTACCAGTGGGCTCCTTAGCAGTAGCCAGAAGGGCCCTGCCTGGTCATCAACCACCTCTCACCTCCACAGCATCTGCAGTTCTGCCTCCCGTTCCCGCTCCAGCTGCAGCTGCTCCTCGATCACCTGCTTCATCCAGGCCGCGTCAGCCAGGGCCTGCTCCCGCCTAGCCTCGTGGACACGCTGGTCCTCGTCCTCCTTCTCCAGGAGCTTCTGGAGGATCAGCTTGTCTGCCTCCTACGTCAGGTAGGATAAAGAGTGAGTGGTGAATGATGAGCCCTGGCTGTGGCTACTTCTGCAAGCTGTTCTTCTGCACCCAACATTGTTGAGAGCAGGCTGCCAGGAGCCCCCCAGATGCTCTCAAGGCAGATCTGGAAAGATGTGAGACAACTATTTCGGGACAGAAAGGGAGTACTTGCTTCAAGAAGTCAAAATGCTGCAGAGCACCCGCACCATCATCACCACAGCTGACGCTCCTGGCCAGGGCTGGGGGAACTGAAGACTGGCAGAGCTTTTAGACCACTTCTGTGAACAGAGACTGTTGCTGCCGTTATGTGCTGTCGAGTCACTTGCAACTCATAGCGACCCTATGTACAAGAGCCCTAAACCCTGCTCTCTTCTGTGCCAACCTTATTGTCTCTGACACACCTAACCCCATTACCCCAGTCACTGAATCGATCCATCTCATTGAGGGTCTTCCTCTCTTGCACTGTCCCTCCACCATCCCAAACGTGATGTCCCTCTCCAACGACCGGTCCCTTCTTGCAACATGTCCAAACTATGTCAGATGAAGCTTCAGAATCCTTGCCTCCAAGGAACAGCCCAATTTCACCCTCTCCAGGACAAACCTGTTTGTTCTAGCAGTCCATGGTATATTCAACCCTTTTCCCTAGTACCACAGCTCAAAGGCATCAATTTTCCTTCTGTCATCCCTAGCCATTGTCCAGCTCTCTGATGCAGAGCGCACAACTGTGAAGACTATGGTCTGGTTCAAGTGCACCTTAGTCTCTAGCCTGATGTCACTGCTCTTTAGTTCTCTGGAGAGGTCCCTGACAGCTGACTTTCCCAATGCAATTCACCTCTTGATTTCCTGGCTGCTGAGTATCGATGTGGAGCCAAGCGAACTAAAAGTATTAGCATTCTCAATCTCATCACCATCCACAATGATGCTGCCCAATGGTGAGAATCTTGGTTTTCTTCATGTTGAGCTTCAATCCATATTAAAGGCTGCAGTCCTTGACCAACTTCTGTAGCAAGCGCTTCAGGTCCTCCTCAGTTTCAGCAAGCAGGGCATAATGCAGGTTGTTCCTCCTTGTACAGCCCAGCGTCCTGGATGATCTGTTCTGCATATAGATTGAAAATATATGGAGACAGAATATATCCCTGGAGGATACCCTCCCTGATTTTGAACCATGCAGTGTCTCCTTCCTCTGTTCCGACAACTGGTCCAAGTACAGGTTTTGTATAAGCACAATCAAATGTTCTGAGATTTCCATTCTTCTCAGAGTCAGCCACAGTTAGTTGTGATTCACAAAGTCAAAACCCTTTGAACAGTACTCTCTGCTTTCAGCCAAGATCCATCTAACATTAGCTACAATATCCCTAGTACCATGGCCTCTTCTAAACCCAGCCTGCACATCTGGCAGTTCTCTGTTGATGTGTTGCTCCAGTCATTTTGTTATAATTTTCAGCAGAATCTTGCTACAGAGGTAGAACTGCACAGATCCATATACAGACAATTCTTGCTCTCCTTGAAGAGGGAAAATCCAGAAATAACTCAAATATCCATTTGTCAGCAAAGTGTCTACCACAGGATTCCAATGATACAAGACTCGTCCATGAAGGAGCTGTGCCTGGGCTCATCCCCAGAAGAGTGGATGGGGACAGAGGAGAGCTGCTTTGCTTTTGTCCAGTCTCAGAGAGGGAGCTCACCAGAGCGCGTAGCAGGGACACTGAGAGGCCACCATACAGAACAAGCTCACCTCCAACAAAGTCCAGAATCATTCCAGGAAAGTCTCCTCTCTTATGGACCAAACTGTGCTCCCAAAATTGGTGTCAACTTGGCTAGGCCGTGGTTATTGGTATAATTAGCCAAAGCCCTGTAAGTCCTAGCCTCTATGATGTTGTTAACAGGGAACGTTGGTGGCTTACTGGTAAGGAGTTGCGCTCCCACCCCAAAGGCACGTGGTTTGAATCCATCTTTTGTAATTTACAGCCTCTGAAAACTTGGTCGAGGGCAGCTATGAGTTGGTCCCACTGATATTAATGTGTGTGTCATAAATCCCAGCCTTAATGAGGTGAGGCAAAATCACATGCAGCTATGCCATGATGCGATCACTCAAGATGTGACCTGAGATGTCTTCAGCCAAGCAGTTGTAGGGGGATAGGGTGGCATGCAACACTCTCCGGTGCCAGCCCTCATATGACTAGGAGAGCTGCCCTGGGGGGGTGGCCTGCTGGCTTGTATCACTTTCGGTCTTTTGATATAGAAAGGACAGAGAAGAGAGGAGAGCTGGGAAAACGGGACAGGAGACTGGACCTCAGTACCACCAAGAATGAAGAGGAGTGAGATGCATCCTTCGGATCCCAGTCTTTGTGTTGCTAAGCTCCACAGCACAGCGAGAGGTCAAGATACTCCAAGGACACCAGGCTCAAAACATATGAAAGGGAAGGGTGTTCCTTCCAAAGCAGCAAAGACAGAAGCCCTTCTCCAGAGTCCACACCCTGAATGTAGACTTTGCTCTCCTGAACTCTAAGAGAACAAACTGTTAAAGTCATCTACTTGTGGAATCTCTCATAGAGCAGCACTGTTGTCTGTTGTTGTTAGGTATCATTGAGTTGTATACGACTCATAGTGACTCTATAAATAAACAACAGATCTAAACCCTGTCTCTTATCCTGTGCCATTCTTATCATCCCTGACACACTTGAGCCCACTGCTGCAGTCACTGTCAATCCATCTCACTGAGGGTCTTTGTCGCCTGTGCTCTGCCTTTCCAAGCATGATGTCCCTTTCCAGGGAACAGCCTCTCCTAACAACATAGCCTAAGTATAGCATCACTAGGTAACCAGGAAACATCATAAATTTCAAGATGCAATTGCAGTGTTTAAAAACCACAACCAAGAGATCCAAGATGGTGGCAGAGGCAGAGACAACGTGGTGAGCTGCGGAAGCAGTGGACCACTTGGAAAAGGGCCATTATGACCCTCTACAGACTCCTGTTTATTAATAATTGAACAGTTAAACAGCTGATGACTGGTCTTCAGTGAGGATTGAGGCTCAACAACAGGAATTCAAGGATTTCCAAGGAAGAATGGGTGAGTGCCGCAGCTCCCAATCCCCTTCCCGCAGAGCCCGCACTGCACCTCACCGCAGCCGCAGTTCCATGAAGCTCCCACAGCCGGAACCTATGGAATCCCTCGCCCAGGATGGAGGGTGAGCACCGGGTCTCCCCAGGACTGGTGCAGTGGAGCCGCCACACTGCAGCAAAGTGTACTTGTTCCGAGGAGAACTCTTGGAGCCAAGATGGCAGCGGCAGGGGAAGAGGGCGGACACTGGCCTCCCGCACGTGAGATGAAGCACGACCGCCAGCCGCCCTTGTGGGAGATGACACTCGGGAGGTGGCTTGCGCCCACCAGCCACCCACACAGAAGATGGCACATGCCCGGCGGCCGCCCACACAGGGAGATGGCGCATGCCCACCAGCCACCTGCACACGAGATGGCGCGAGCCCGCCGGTCGCCTGCAATGGGGAATGGCATGCGCCCGCCAGTCGCCAGTGTGGGAGATGGCGCACACCTGCTGGCCACCCTGCGCTGGGGGATGGTGCGTACCCGCTGGCTGCCTGCACACTGGCTGCCTGCACACGAGATGACACCCGCTTGGCAAGAGATAACACGTGCCCGCCAGTCATCCGTATGGGAGATGATACTTGGGAGATGGCTCGCGCCCACCAGCCACCCATGCGGAAGATGGCATGCGCCTGGCAGCCACCCACACAAAAAAATGGCACACGCCCACCAGTCACCTGTGTGGGGGATGGCACGGGCCTGCTGACCCACTGGCTGCCTGCGCACAAGATGATGCGAGCACTCCGGGAGATGATGCGAGCCCTCTGGTCGCCCGCGTGGGAGATGACATGTGCCTGCCAGCTGCCCACGCTGGGGGATGACGCGCACCTACCCCCACCGGATGCCCATGCACGAGATGACGCGCGCTCGCTGGTCGCCTGCACATGAGATGATACATGCCTGTTGGCCACCCGCGTGAGAGATGACACGCGGGAGATGGCGAGCGCCTGCTAGTCACCTGCGCTGGGGGATGGTGCGCGCCCGCCAACCACCCGCACAGAAGAGACGACGACCCCCCGCCGCCCGACCCGCCGCCCGTGGGGGGGGGATGTGTGCCCCACCACCTGCAGGTTTGGGTTTCCTTGGAACACCAGAGAAGATGATCACCTATACAATGGATTGTTGAAAGTCACTGTGAGTTGTCTACTTAATGACACTTACAGTGGCAGCATGTCCAAGAGGACCAACATCCTAAATGCACCACATATTTTGATCTGTTGAATGCTTCTGCCAAAAGATGTTTAGACCTGAGTGGAGCCCGTTCATAATTTTCAAGTTCCCTTTGCCATTTATAAAGGGGGAGAGAAGTGACACCTACTTCAAATTATAGTATGAACACTTATACAGGGGGTGTAAAAGTGGTGGTGCTGGAATTGGAGATGCTGTCCCTGGCCACACACTCCTCGGTCAGGTGAGGGGACCAGATTAGTGTGGGGGCAAGTAGAGGGAAGTGTACCAGCCAGCCCATGGGGGGTGTTGCCCTGCCCGGGGCGGGTTGTCCTCGGCCCTCTGCCCGGGGCAGGCTGTCCTCGGCCCTCGGCTCGGGGCGAGCCGTCACGGCCCTCTGCCCGGGGCGGGCTTCCTCGGCCCTCGGCTCGGGGCGAGCCATCATGGCCCTCAGGGTGAGCTCCTCAGTCCCCAGATTATGCCATCTGACCCCTGGGTAGGAAAAAAAATGGCTAGGGTATCCAGAAAACTTTATCTAGGCTACTTTCTGCCACCCTCTCCCCCAGTAAACTTGAAAGCAACACCCCCAAAACCCCTCTATTTGTAACTCACAAGTTTGTTCTCTCTAGGTTTGCTCCCTTTCCTACAGGTAACCCTACCACTGAGTTTTACTTCAGACTGACCCCGAACCCAGTGCCAGTGACCAAAAGGAAATACAACTGCCAGCTAAAGAAGCAAAGGAGGATGGAGCCTCTGGGTTCAACCAGCCATCCCCACTAGACCCACCTGGGGAAACACTTTGCAGTCCAGAGGGGAGCAAATGACAGGAAAATATCTTCTAACAGAACAAGAAGGCAAGCAGCCTTAACCTAAGATCACCAGTAAGGTGATAAAGTGTCCTCCCTTTCCCCCTTCACATCAATGCCCCTGTTCAGTATGAAGAAGCCAGAGAGTCAGCATCCAGTTCCCAAATCAGTAAGACAGTTGGTTTAACTACCATTGGAAAATGCTTGTCATTTTCCTGTAGCATCTGGTCCCCACTGGATCACTTTCATTTCCTTCACCTGCTCCCCCCACCAACCCATTTCTGCAGCTCTGCAACTGCATCCCTGCCCATCCTTACCCTTCTGCCCCCAACCCTCACCTCCTTGTACCCCCAATTTGTTTTTTCCCAATAAAAATTAAAAAAACAAGACAAAAAGCCCCACAACCAAACAAACCCCTTTTCTTCACCAATGTAGGCAGAGATCTAGGAGGATGTTCATCAAGGCCTCACCTCTGGAGAGTGCAGGAGAATCTCACTTGAAGATATCATTCTTACAAGAACATACTCCCCTCAAGCAGTAACAAACTTTGCCTTCAAGAGAGCATGAAGGAACAGGCAGGCCATCTCTGCATACTTACCAGCTCCTCTTGAATCTGCTGTGCCCGTCGATTGAGTTGTGCATGATACTGATGCCTCAGGAAGCGCCTGGAAACGAGCATAGCAGAGACTGCCATCAGGGTCCGAGAAAGAAATGTTAGGTTCCATTGAGTCACCTATGACCCATAAAAATCCTATGTATAAAAGCTCTGAAGCCTGCTCTTTTCTGAGCCAATCTCACTAACTCTGACACACTTACCCTCATTACCCCAGTTACTTTATCAATCCATCTCATCCAGGGTCTTTCTCTGTTGTGCTGTCCCTCCACCCTGCTGAGCATGATGTCCTTCTCCAAGGACGGGTCCCTCCCAGCCACGTACCCAGAGTATGTGAGAAGAAACTTCAAAATCCTAGCTTCCAAGGAAAAACTTGGTTTCAACTCTCTAAGACAGACCTATTTGTTTTTTGGCAGTCCATGAAGAGTTCAATACTCTTCTCTGGCACCACAACGCAAAGGCATTGATTTTTCTCCTGTCATCCTTAGTCACTGTCTAGCTCTCTGATGCACAGTAAGTAATAAAAAGCCTATACAACTACCCACTACAGGTCACACTGTCGATGGTATCAAGGGTCCAGATGCAAGCAGGGGAAGCCAGAGGCTTGCCCACCAGCAGGGCCCCTTTACACACCCCAGCTCTGCCTTTTCCCGGAAGGCCGCCATCCGCTTCCTGTCCTCCTCCAGCCTCTCCAGCTCCCATCGCTGCCTCAGGAGATTCTCCTGCTCCTTCTTCAGTTTGCTGGCCTATGTGGCAAGGAGAGGAAACCCAAACAAAGGAATCAGTCCTGGTGGTCCCATCCTCTCCCACCATAGGGGCTGGGCCTGCCTGGCTTCACTTGCTTGTCTCATCTTTGTATGCACTGCCTCCAAGACCCTTGCCCAGTTCTGCAGACAAGAAAGCTGCACATTACAACTGCATACTTGTCCCCATTACTGAACTTAACATCTGTCTCCCGACCTGAAACTCTCCTGCCCTGAGGGCTGGGACTGTAAGCTGTGGGCCTTACTAATGGCTGTATCTCTGGTACCAGCCCAATATTCAACACCCACTGCAAACTGTTGTTGTTGCAATGTGCCATCAAGTCAAAGTCAACTCATAGCTGATCCTCCAGTAGGTTTTCAGAGGCTGTAAATCACACCACCTTTCTCCCTTGGAGAAGTTAGAGTTAGTGAATTCCAACCTCCTGATTTTGGGTTGGGAATGCAACTCCTTACCACTAGGCCAGCAGTATTTCCTCTAGTATAATGAGGGGACACTAATTATGTGCTTATTCAACCATTCGGTCCTAGGGAATGGAGAAGCTATTGAGTCAGTGAGCTCTGACCTTTCTTCATATGAACGTGAAGACCCAGCCTCACTGGGAAACTGCACAACGGACCAAAAATTGTACATTATGCCTTGAAACCCAAGACTTGCTACCAGTGGGACTGTGTGCTAAGGACAGCAGATTGACACATGGTTACTCAGACTCAGAACTGACTTGTAGCTGGCCCTCCAGTGGGTTTCAGAGATTGTAAATCGCACAGGAGGAAACTGCCCATCTTTCTCTCAAGAAGCCACTGGTGGATTCAAACTGCTAGGGAGAGGCACCACATTTGTATTAGCAGCACAAGTCCCTATGGACCAGGTCACCGGAGCTCCCCACTGGAAAACCCAAGTGCTAAGGGGACTCTGGGACTGCAGGCCTCAAATCACACAGAGAAGACATACACTGTGTCCAGATCATTCAGGTCCTAGAGCTTGCACACACACTAGGGGCGTGGGAATTCAGAGGGAGGAATCCAGCTGTTGCTGTAGTTTTTGAAAACCGCCTCTCCTGAGATGCTCTCTTATTGCTGGCTGGCGCCATCAAGCCACGTCTGACTCAGAGCGACCCCATGGACAACAGGTCAGAACCCTGCCCTGCCTTGTACCATCCTCACTATCTCTACTTTAGTAAAAAGAAAGGGGGTGGAAACTACAAAATGGAAAGCTGATGATTTCTGACAACAGCAGCTTCTTCAGTTCCTGTTGGGTACCACTGAGCAGAAGGCAGGGAGGATCTCACTCACCTCCATTTCCTTTGCCTTCAGCTCCTCCATCTGCTGGAGCAGCGCTTCGGCCTGAAGTTTCTCTTCCAGCCGCCGCCTCTCCTCCTCAGCCCTCATCCTCTCCACTGCTTCCCTGTGGGCTGTTTCGTATTCGTTTTCATACCTCATATGCTCTTCCTTCTCAGCAGCTTCTTGCTACATGGGATCACATGAACCATGAGGTCAGTGTCTGGTGCACACAGCTTCGAAGACCCAGCTGCTGCTCTGGCCCAGCAGAGGCCAGGCAGAGGCACATCATTCTGGCTCCATGCTGCCCCCAGGAAAGCAGACAGGAGTGCTCAGAAGGTACTTAGCTCAGGAGCTCCGTGTCCTCCCCTTTCCACAACATAATCAAAAGCTTTCCAAACGGAACACTGGAACAAAGCAAGGGATTCAGCAGATGGGAGGACATTTACCCCTAGGAGTGACACTATAAGCCACAATCACGAGTTTACAATCAAGGGAGATACAATCAGGGTGGGGGGGAAGCTCTTAAAGATCATGTTCGGGGGTGGGGGGAAGGAGAGGTAATTGTGCAACAATGAGTGAATATTTAAAGAAAACAAAGGAAGTAAATTGGGAGAGGGGGTAAAAATGTGCAACAATGCATAGATGAAAATCTAACTTTTCTGTAAACTTTTGTAAAAAGTATAATTAAAATAAAAAAATTAAAAAATAGCAACCAAAAAACAGGAGGGTGAGTGTTAATCATAGGGTTGCACAATTTGATGGGTGAGGGTAATGAAGGAAATGGGAAAGATGTGGTGTGAAAAACAGTATTTTCGAACTTTGTAAATAAACCAGTATAAAATAAAATTCAAACAAACAAATAAAAAGATCCATGCTCGATCTCCTCCTCCTTTTGAAGCCTGCCTGCCAGCCCTGGTCGCCTGGTCTAGTTCTGCCCCTGGGAATAATCTCAGAGGTTCCTGATACTTGGGAAGAGCCCACCTTCAACACATGCTCACCAGACAATGCTCTCCATCCTACCTTGGTGAGTAGTGGCTACTTAAGAGCTTGCAGACAGCCCTCTGAAGTGCAAGTCTAAGGTTCAAGTATTGGTCTCTTCCTGTCTGGGACAAAGAAGAGGGAAAGAAAGCAACAATACATTGAAAGGACTGATGGACCAGGCAGACTTCAACCTCCGTGACCCCGAGACAAGAAACACTAGATAGTGCCCAGCTACCAAAGCTGATGATTCTAGAAGTGATCACAGTGGAAGAGCCCATGTAGAGTAGGCAAAAAGGTGGGACGAAATGCAAAAACATACAAAAGACCAGGCTTACTGGTCCAAGAGAGGCTGGTGAAAGCCCAGAACTATGAACCCTAGTTACCCTTCCTGCATGATAAAAAGCTCACCCCTATAGCACAACTTTCAGTCAAAAAATAACCAGGCTCATAGAGGGACCAAGAATAGCAGGCGGGCGCCTACTCCTTTACATAACCAATCACACAAGACAAAAAGGGCAACATCTGCCCCAAAATGAAGCTCAGAAGGCGGGAAGAGAAAGGATGAGTGGAAATGAGAATCACATGGATACAGTGGGAAGGATGTGGTTACATTAAAACTGCGAAGTATTAGAACTGCTGTCAAAAACGAAATGTGTAGGAATGGCTGCATGGAAAACCAATTTGCTTTGTAAATTCTCAACTCAGTAAAAAGAAAAAAGAATTGAAAGTGTGTTTACTAAATTGAGAAACAGTCTGTTTTTTTACGTGAAGTCATTATCATTAAAAGCCAGAAATAAATTGAGAGAGATTTAAAGAGATTAAGAGAGTTTAGGACTGAAGCACGAGGGATCATTCCCAAAGGTGGGTACCTCACCTGCTTCTTTTCTTCTCTCTGGGTTTCCCAAGAGTTTATCACATGCTTCTTGTGAAGGTCCAATTCAATCTAAGGATGAGAGGATGGGTGTTAACTCCAGGCTGCTACCATTTGACAGACTTCAGCTGCAGACAGTGTGCTGCCTTCCACATCACCATCACATCTCATGGGGATTCAGAGGGACTCCACAGAACAGTTACAACACGGAAGTTGACTGTAACACAGGATCCTAATGAGGAATCAGGAATCTGAAGGAGCAGGTATCTCAAAAAAAAAAACAAACACAAAACCCCTCAAGGGTCAAAGAGAGTAACAGCAACTTCTCCAAGTCAGCAGATAGTGAAATGGAAATACAATTTCAACGGCCACACTGGTCTGCCATGTGATCGCCTTTATCTAGAACATCCTTCTCTCATCCCTACACATGTCAATGGTCAGTTAATGGCCCTGACCTTCCAAACCTCTCCTCAGATGCCTCCCAGGCCTTAGCTGAGTTAAAGTCACTGTCATTATGCCTGTGCCCATCCCCTTAGGCTGGCCAGCACCCAGCATCCTGAACTGCATTTGTCTGCCCACTGTCTTCCCCACTGGGGATGGGAGCTCCTCAAGAGCAGGGACCATGTTTCCTCCTCATGTCTCACATGGGAGGCCAAGCTCAAAGGACAAGTGACCACTCAGTGCAGGCCACACCAGCTCCTCCAGTCGGTGATCCTTCTGGCTGGAGCGACCCCTCCTGTTACAAAACAACACAAGAAGTGGGTGGAGAAAAGCCTGGAAAGACAATGTCATCAGCTTAGGGAGATCAATGGTAGGCTCGCCTTTATTCTCACCTCTCGCAGTTCAGGGCTATTCTTTTTCCAGTGTTCATACAAAAGCTTCTCCGCAACCTGTCAAGAAAACACAAAGTGGGAAGCTGGATGTTGATTTTCAAATCAATTCACATCTCAAACCCCGAGAGTAGAGGCTGATGCAGGGAGCCAGGTTTAGACCTCCACACTGGCACACACTCACAACGCCCGGCCTGGTACATGGAGCTCCACGGCCTAAATGAATTCTCCTAGCCAGACACTCTTGTAGCAGTGAAAAACGATGGGCAAAAGCTGAGCTACAGGGAGGTCATAGCTAGGGGGTTTCACAATTTATTTTATGTATGTATGTTTGTATGTACGTATGTATTTCTTTATTTTTTTCTTTATTTTTTAAAAAAAGGAGAGTTGCTTTCAAATTAATCTCATCTCATAGGGATTCTGTGTGTGTCAAAGTAGAATTAGCCTACCAAGGTTTACAAGGATTGATTTTCTGAAAATAGATGGGTAGTCCTATATTCTGAGGCACCTGTGGATAGACTCAAACCTCTAGCCTTTCAGTTAGCAACTAAGCTTCCGGTAACTGATTGCATCACCCATGGTGAAAATACATTGCAGGCTGAAAATACAAGCTAGGACTCAACTCTACTCAGCTATTCTGGAAGGTAAAATATTCCAGACCCAGACCTTGTGGAGTTACAGAACTGAAGTAAATAGAAGGGTCCTAAGCAACAAACAGCTGGCTCAGCCAAGCACACCCCCGGACGCAGAGCCAGTGCTCTTCCTCGCTGACTCTGCAGCCAGCTGCTTCTCGGCAGACCAGGGAGGCTGGGGATAGTCCACAGGTGCCTGCTGACAGGGCAGGGATGCTCTTAAAGGCCTGTGGGAAGTTACCAGTTTTCTCTGCTCTTCCTGGGCTGACTTCAAGTTCCCATGCCGCTCGCGGATTCTTCTTTCTCGCAAGTTCATGGTCAGCCTCAGGTCCTCCAATTCCTTGGCCAGTAGGTCCTGCTCCTCCAGAACGAGCTGCCTAAGCCGTTCACGCCTGGCCTCGAGGCTCCTCCTCTTCTCCTCCTTCATCTTCTCCCGCTGATAGGCATGCATGCTGTCAAGAAAGAGCCATGAGGAACCGATGCGGTCTCATGCACAGTGCACGCGCACAAACCCCCCCAATGCCACCACATGTACAGTGCACATGTGCACAGTCTCTAATGCTGCCACATGCAATGCAGACACATGCACCCCCAATGCTGCCACACGCACAGCACATGTGCACACACCAATGCCGCCACACACAGTGCACTTGTGCACAGTCTCCAATGCTGCCACGTGCAATGCACATGTATGCACCCCAATGCTGCCACACGCACAGTGAACATGTACACACCCCCAATGCCACCACATGCAGAGTGCAAGAACGCACCCACACACCCCAATGCCGCCACACGCACAGTGCATGTGCACACACCCCCAATGCCACCACACGCACAGTGCACATGCATATCCACACACCCCAGTACCACCACATGCAGAGTACATACGTGCACCCTTCCAATGCCTCCACACTCACAGTGCACACGTGCACGTACACAAGTGGGATGAGAGACATGTGATAACAGTACAATCTTTTTAAAAACTGTATACATAAGCCAGCAACTAAGATATGTGTGTGCATGTGTAGTTCCTAGGTGGTGTGACAGTCTAATGCACCTGGCTACTAACCTAAACATTAGAGGTTTGAGTGCATGCAGGAGCACCTCGGAAGAAAGATCTGGCAATCTACTTCTGAGAAACCAACCTTACGAAGCAGTTCTACACCTGACACACACAAGGGTAGCACCGAGTCAGAGCTGAATCAACTAGTTCGTGTGTGTTTGTGAGCATATACACACACATATTATTTACATGAATAATGTTCTATTCTTGGAAGCAGGAGTGGCATCCACTTACATAATAGCTTGCCTCCAGAAACCCTATGAACCTGGAGAGAGGATGAAAGTCACACAAGTGTTAAGGACTTTCCTTCATAGGGTCGCTATGAGTTGTCTACAACTCAACAGCACTTAACAACAACAACGTTCTATCACATGTGTCCGACAAAATGAGTTGTTTTAGCCTAACTTCCATAGAGGGTAAAAGATAATGGGTAACTTATTCAGCTGATAACCAAAAGATCAAAGGTAGTGTCTGTGTGTGTGTGTGTGTGTGTGTGTGTGTGTGTGTGTAAGTATATGTCTATGTATTGCCGCTTTTGTGTACCATAGAGTCAGGACTGACCCACAGCTGACCTTCCAGGCAGGTTTTCAGAGGCAGTTAATCGCCTGGGAAGAGATTGCCCTTCCTTCTCCCACAGAGCAGCTGGTGGAATCCACTGCGTGCCTTCAGGATTGCAGCACAGCTTCTTGCCACTAGACCACCAGAACTCCTATATACATATTCACATACATACACACACACAACCCCCTCTTCAGAAACCAGTGGAGGATGGTTATGAATCAGAAACCCAGTGCAGTGGGTTTAGATTTAGTCCTGAAAAAAGTAAGGATTTCTACTCATATCTGTCTGACTACAAAGCGTACGCCTATAAATTGTTTTTACACGTGTTTAAAAAAAATGGGTTTATGGGTGAATCTGTGTTTTTACACACAGTATGGAGACTTAGGATTACAAGGAGATTCGAAGTACTACTTCAAACACCTATTATCTTTTTTAAATACAAATGCATAGCCTCACTGATTTTGTTTTTCCATTTTCTTTCAGCAGTGAAAACATCACTGCCACACAGGACATCAGGCCACCCACGTTGTTAGCAAATCCCTCTGAGAGATAACGCTGTCAAGCCAAGCTACACTCCCTAGGTCCCTAATGCCATGTACTGTGACCAACACACTAAACTGGCAGGGCCCACACATGTACCTCCGCTGGTAGGAGGTCTTGGAGCTCCACTCTGCCTGCTTGGAGCTGCAGATGTTAGACAGTTGGAAATAACGGCTGTTCTGATCCCACTGCTCCCGAAGCCGGGCTGCCTGCTTCCGCTGCCGTGCAAGCTGCTGCCCCAGGAGCTGTCGGCTGCACCAGTAGGAAGGCAGTGTGGGCAGTGCCATCTGAGGGGGACAGCAAAGACAGGACAGTGAGCAAACCCCAATGAAGCCACTCACCAGACTAGTTAAATACGAAAAGCTTAGAGTGGGGCCCAGGCATTGACATTTTAAAAATTTTCTCTTGTCTGAGCTAGAATTAATCACTGAATTAGAGAAGCTTGGGCTGTGCTGGCTGTGCATGGAACATTATCAGGGGCACTGAAGGATGACCTTGAGGACTTGTTGTTGTTATGGCCCGTCAAGTTGCTTGCAACTCACAGCAGCCCTCCGTACAACAGCCCTAAACTGAGCTCTATCCTGTGCCAACCTTAGTCTCTGACACACCCATTACCCCAGTCATTATATCAATCCATCTCATCCAGGGTCTTCCTCTCTTTCTGTCCTTCTCCAAGGACTGGTCCCTCCTTGCAACATGTCCAAAGTATGTCAGATGAAGCTTCTGAATCCTTGATTCCAAGGAGCAGCCTGCTTTCACTCTCTCTAGGATGAACCTGTGTGTTCTCCTAGCATCCACACTCTTCTCCAGCACCACAGCTCAAAGGCATCAGTTCTCGTTCTATCATCCCTAGTCATTGTCCAGCTTTGCATAAGTAATACAGGTAGCAATGTAAGAAACATCTTATAGCCACTCTTTTCCTCATGACCACACTCATTATTTGGTAGATGCTGTCAGGTGGTATTGAGTCAATTCCCACTTATAAGAGCCCTACAGAAGCTCTAAACCATTCCCTATCCTATGCCACTGTGGCAGTCCATCTCCTTGAGGATCTTCCTCTCTTTTGCTGAGCTTCCAAACATGCTGTCTCTGTTCAAGGTCTGTCTTAAAAACATGGCTAAAGTATGTAAGACAAAGCTTTACTCTCCTTGCTTCTAAGGAGCATCTGGGTTGTACTTTTGACAAGATGAATTTGTTGGTTCCTTTGATAGTCCATGGGATGTTCAATATTCTTCACCAACACACTACAATTCAAAGCTATCAATTCTTCTTTGATCTTCCTTGTTCCCTGTCCAACTTTTGCATGCAATTGACCATGACTTGGGTCAAGTACATCTTAGACTTTAAGTAATACCTTTGCTCTTCTTTTTTTTTTTAGTGTTTCAGAGCGTTTATCTGGACAACAATATGGAAAACAGACCAGAGGAGTCACCCTATCCTAGCCTTCTGTCACGGATCTGTCACTGATTAATTTGTATCCACCCAAAAATATGTAACGTCCATAAATCCTGTTCATAGGGTGCTAACCAAAAAGTCAGCTGTTGGAATCCATGAGCCACTCCATGGGAGAAATGGGATAAGACAGTTTCCCCCTAAAGATTACAGCCTCTGAAATGGATCGAGGGTTGCCATAGGCTGGAATTGACTCAAGGACAATAGGTTTATACCTGTGGCTACAATATCATTTGAAAATGGGTTTTCTAACATGCTTGCTCTTAGAAGCACTTTAATAAGGCCCTTGGCAGCATATCTGCCCAATGCAACGTATCTTTCGATTATTTGCTGCTATCATGGGTGTTGATTGTGGATCCAAGCAAAATGGGATGAAGACGTTTTCATTCAAACCGGCGAAATGACTTGTCCAGGAACATACAACCGAGAAATGGAGGAAACAAGAGATGGGGTTCCAAAGAGATGGGACGTGCATACCCGATTGCTGCAGCTGAATGTGTATTAAAGGGCAGAACCCCGGTAACCATAGACAGACGGAGATATCGGGAATCGGGGAAAGGTGAGACTTGGTCAGCATCACAGAACAATATGGGGGCACAGCTGGGATTAGAAAGAAGAGCGGTTGCACCCAGGGATGGACAGTTTTTCCCTCTGCCTGCACTCGAGGTCCAGAAGTGCCCGGCCACGGCTCTCTCTGGTCGTACTGACTTCTCTGAATACACCAACAGCACTGGATCCAGCCAAGAGTCCTCCAAAAATTGCAGGGAAAAAACCCGCACTTCTAAATCTATTTTGAGCCTGGGGGCTGCCAGTCTGCAACGTGTCTTGAAAACGTGGCCGGTGACTAAAGCTCTGCTCAAGGAGTCAAGAGCCTTCAGGGGCCAGTCCCCGATCTCCACCAACAACGGGGTCTAAGATCCACAACTGACAAGTGGAAAAGGAAACTGGAAGTGTTGGGGCAATGGGGGCGGCGAGAAGGCGAACCCAGGCGCCCTGTCCTCGAGGCCCCGGACTCACGCCGCTGCGTGGTCGGCCACGGACGGCCAGACCCAGCCCGGCCCCAGCATCGGCTCCCCGGCGCGCCCGGTTTCCCGACTCACGTTTCTCTGGGTCCTAGAGTTTCCCAAGAGACTCCGGGCGCAAGGTACCGACAGTCGCACAAAGCCTTTGCTGTCGTAGACCGCGCGCCACTGACGCCAGCCGTTTCTCGGCTCGTTGCCACGGAAACAGGGCCGGCGACGGAGCGTCACGAGGGCCAACCCACCTACAGCGCGAAACTGAGCGCGAACAGGAAAGATGCGTCTGTTTTTTCTGGTTCTCCCTCGTGGTAGGCGAGATAATAAATGGCAGCATCAGAGGCATGAGGATGGGGGAAATTAATCAACGAGTTGTACAATTTGATGGGTGGAGAGGTGAGGGAAAATGGAATACTCTGGCCTGAAAAGCAATGTATTCGAATTTTGTAAACAACCTAGTATAAAGAAAAGAACTAACTAAAAAATAAAAATATATAAATAGCAACAGATCTTAAATCCTATTTACTTGCTGGACAATGAAGAAGGATGACAGATGAAAAATCAGTGGCTTTGACTTGTGGTGTTGGAGAAGAGTACTGAATATCCCATAGACTGTCAAAAAGAACAAGCAAGCCTGTCTTGGAGAAAGTAGTCCTTGAAGGTAAGGATAGTGAAACTGTCTCACATATTTTGGGCTTGCTGTTAGAAGGGGCAGGTCTTCGGAAAAAGAACATCATGTTTGTAAAAGTGGAGGGTCAGAGAAAGAGTAGAAGACTCTCAATGAGATGAGTTGACACAGGCACTCCAGCGAATTTTCAGAGGCTGTAAATGGCACTGGAGGAGGACTGGCCTGTGGAGCAGCGCGTAGATTCGGACCACCAGTGAGAAGTGTAAATCTCTACATAGGACCTCAACAGCAAAAGCTGCTTAAAATAAAAAAATTCTAACTCATTGGGTGGAGTTGAATTCTATCTCATAGAGACCCTATTGGATGGAGTAGAACTGCCCCATGAAGTTTTCAAGGTTGTAAGAGCACTACATTTTGTCCTGGTAACCGACAGGTCAGGGAGGTGGCCTAGTGGTAAGAAGCTGCATTGCAAACCCTAAAAGCACATGGTTCAAATCCACCAGGTAGGCCATAGGAGAAAGATGAGCACTCCTCCTATGTGATTTCCTGCCTCTGAAAACCCGCTGCAGGGTCAGCTGTGAGACAATTCCAACTTGACAGCACACTACAACAGCAACTAACAGCTCAGCAGTTCAAACTCACCAGGCACTCTGCAAAAGATTAGCAATTTCTTCCGGTACAGATGTATGGCCTCTGAAACTCAATAGAGGGTGGCTATGAATCAGAATCTACTCCACAGCAGTGATTTTGGGTTCTGAATCTTTATGGAAGCCATCTGCCACCTCTTTCTCTCACATTGTGGCTTAGGGATTAGAATCTCCAACCTTTGGAGCCCACTTAATCACTGTGCTTCTAATTGTCTACCTATGACCAACTGCTGTAGAGTTAATTCCAACTCAAACAGATCCTGTAGGAAGAACAGAGTAAAGCTGTCCCATAGGGTTTCCAAGGCTGTGTATCTTAATAGGAGCAGGATGTCTCATCTTTCCTTGGAGTGGCTTGTGAATTCAAAGAACCAATCTTAGCAGCTCTATTTGTAACTCTCTATTAAAAGAATATTCCCTACACAAAATTCACGATGGTGGTTACCTACAGGGATAAAGATGGGAGGATAGGCAATCTGGGGGATATGGTAAATCCTGCTGCAGGGTAGAAATTGGAATCATTGCTTTTTCCAAACTCATCAGATGAGTTTGGAGAACCATTCATGTAAGTAGATATGTTGTTGTTGTTGTTATGTGCTATTGAGTTACTTGCGACTCTTAACGACCCTATATTCAACAGCCCTAAACTCTGCTCTGTCCTGTCTCAATCACACTGTCTCCAACACACTGATCCTGATTACCCGGGTCACTGACTCAATCCACCTCTTAGAGGGCCTTTCTCTCCTGTGCTGTCCCTCCACCCTCCCAAACATGATGTCCCTCTCCAAAGACCGGTCCCTCCTTACAACATGTCCAAAGTATGTCAGATGAAGCCTCAGAATCCTTGCTTCCAAGGAGCCACCCGGTTTAACCTTCTCCAGGATGAACCTGTTTGTCTTCAGAGCAGTCCATGGTACATTCAATACTCTTCTCCAGCACCACAGCTCAAAGGCATCAATTCTCCTTCTATCCTCCCTAGTCATTGTCCAACTCTGATGCATAACAAGTGATCGCAAAGACCACATGGCCTGTATCAGATGCAACTTAGTCGTCTACAGAGAGACACCATTGCTCTTCAGTACTTTGGAGAGGTCTTTAACAGCAGACTTTCCCATCGCAATAAGTCTTTTAGTTTCCTGGCTGCTTGTGCCAAGAGTGTTGACTGTGAAGCCAAGCAAACTAAAGCTGTGAACAATCTCAATCTCTTCACCACCCATCCTGATACTGTCAGTTGGTACAGTGGTGAGAATCTTTTGCCTTCTTGACATTGAGCCTCAGTCCATATTGAAGGCTGCAGCAAGCGCTTCAGATCCTCCTCAGTTTCAGCAAGCAGGGTTGTGTCATCTGCATAACACAGATTGTTGATAGATCTTCCACCAATCCTGATGCCACATTTCTCCTCATAGAGCCCAGCCTCCTGGATAATCTGTTCTGCATACAGGTTGAAAAGGTATGGAGACAGGACACATCCCTGGCATACATCCTTCCCAATTTTGAATCATGCAGTGTTTCCTTGCTCTGTTCTGATGATTGCCTTTTTGTCCAAG